GGACACCCCCCCCCCCCCCCCCCCATAATAAATGTCTGAATATGCCCTTTATATAGGCTACATCATGAAGATTATTTCTACTATAGGTCTACTCCTGGTATCTGTCCACATTGGAAGCTCATTTCTGATTGGAGCCTTCAACATTAAATCCTTTGGGGATTCGAAAGCATCTAATGCCACCCTGCTTGACATCATTACCAAAGTGAGTGACACCCAAACCTATAAAATCCTTACAAGCTCACATTTGGTAACTGTATTGTGTTGTTTAGGTAGTACACCGTTATGACATTGTACTCATCCAAGAAGTGAGCGACAGCGATCTCTCTGCAACTAAGAAACTGATGCAAAGTGTGAATGGGTAAGTTGTCTTAACTGGCTGTATGTTACTGTATTTAATTGTGTAAATAAATGAATAACAATTATTTTCATTACCAGAGGTTCCTCGCCATATGAATATCAGTACATTGTAAGTGAGCCCTTGGGTAGGAACACTTACAAAGAGAGATAACTCTTTATTTACAGGTAACATTTAGTTCACATATCATATAAGATTGTATGCATATATGTGGTTCATATCAATAATTATCGAATGATTACACTTTTATTCTCATCAGACAGCAGACAGTGGCCGTTGCCAACAGCTTCCAGTATGATGATGGATGTGAATCCTGTGGAACTGATACTTTCAATAGAGAAGCCTTTGTTGTGATGTTCTCCTCTAATAAAGGTGGAGGTCCAAGTTCATTGTGAGAATGTTAGCAGTAATACAGTCAGAAGGCACTGTTCAGCAAAAGCTTTTCATCCAAAACAATTTACGGTACACTAAATTCAGAGACAGTTCCCCTGAAATTAAGAGCTGTGCTACAGGCCACAATGGCAATGAAGAGGATGTGATTTTCATATTTAGGGTTGAATATACACAACCACTCAAAAGTCTGGGGTCATTAAGACCTTTTTTTTTTCCTGAAATAATACTTTCCTTTTTTTCAGCAAGGATGCATTATTGATTTATATAAACGTATCAAGTCAAAGACTTTTAAATTGTTCAAAAGATTTCTATTTAAAAATAAATGCTATTCCTTTCAACTTTCTACTCATGAAAGAAACCTTGAAAAAATGTATCACAGTTTCCACAAAAATATTAAACATCACAGGAGTAATGACTGCTGAGAATTCAGCTTCACCATCACCGGTATAAATTACATTTGAAAATAGTAAAATAGAAAAGTTATTCTAACACAATACTCTTTTCACTGTATTTATGATCAAATAAATGCAGCCTTGGTGAGCATAAGAGACTTATTTCAAAAACATTTTTTTTTAAAGTCCTATAGACCCCAAACTTGAACAGTTGTGTACATTGTATTTATAATGCAATATACTGTAAATACAATGACTGTATTTAGATTATATCAAGGATTTAGCAGGGATTGAATTTCAATTATTAAAAGTAATCAGCTCACAGTGACACTAAACAACAATGTTATTGAGCGGATTCTTATTTTTGCTCAAAATACTGAGCACAAATAAATATCTTTTCTATAGCTGTCCGGGAATTTGCCCTCATTCCCCAGCATACATCCCCAGAAGTCGCTGTGCGGGAAGTTGATGCTCTGCATGATGTCGTCTTGAATGCTAGACAACGTCTGAACACAAATCTAACTATACTGGTGCATAGCATACTGTATGAACTAGTCCTGTTAACATGACAGACATTTCCATTTAATTTACATTGTTCTGAACATCACTATACTAATATACAGTATGATTTGGGCGATTTATGTCAATTCAAATTTTTTCAGAACATCATGCTTTTGGGAGACTTCAATGCTGGCTGTAGCTATGTTTCGAATTCAGACTGGTCAAAAATACACCTCCGTACTGACCAAAGTTACACCTGGCTCATCCCTGATAGTGCGGACACAACGGTCACACACACAAACTGCCCATAAGACAGGTAGGAAGACATCACAAGCTATTTTGCTGGATAAGATAAACCTATGTTATGTAATGACCCATAATATGCTTGATAAAAGGATTGTAGTCACCTCTGACATGATGAAAGGAGTGTCCGCTGGATCAGTGCAGGTCTTTGACTTCATAGAAGCCCAAGGATTGAGCCAGAGTTGGGTAAGGATAGGTTTTGCCTCATTGGGATTCAGTATTCTAAACATTAGACCTAAGAAGCTCTCTGGAGAGTTGAGTTATTGCTGAGTGTATTCCTCTGTCTGAAGCATTCATGTCTCTTTCACAGGCCCTGGCAGTGAGTGATCACTTTCCTGTTGAGGTCAAGTTCCTGTGAAAAACATCAAGGTTGTTCCCTCGCAGCAGATATACACTGCAATGCTAATGCTTGATGTGTAGTGCTGTCTTAGACTTAATGAAAATGATAAAAAAAAGAATAATTTTCTTTCAACGAATAATTGTACAGTATCATTCTATAGCTATAAAAATACATAATTAAATTTGAAATTGCAGCTTTCAAATTCTTCTATAAGCCCCAAATTCTTCTATAATTATTATGCATGCCGTTTTTATTACCCCATTAAGAAGCTACACTGAAGAAAAAAAAAGGTGTAGAAACAATTTTTACTCAGAAACTGCTCGGAAATTTCATAATTTCAAAGAAATTGCAAGTAACATATTGAAATAAATGTGAAATTGTAGAAAAGCTGAAATAGTGTTTTCTTGTCAAATGTACTCGAATAATCTTTATTTACAACAAAAAACAAAGTTTTTTTTTTAGTGTTTATAAAATATTTTTATTTTAGGTTACATTTTAAGGTGCTCTTGTCACAGTGTAACGAGGATACTGTAAAATAAAGTGTTAAAAGCTAAAAGACCATTTAAAATGAACTATTAAAGACAAAAGTTGATTTAAAATAGAGAAATACTTAAAAGAAATTGTAATCGTTTACTTGACCTAACATATACGCTTCTCCTTATGCATATACCGCATGTAAAATTTGAATCTTAAAATCTTGATGCTGAATTGAAACAAATAAATGTTATGAATAAGCTAAGCTGTCAACTATTCGCATGCTAAACAGATCCCATCCCATTTTGGTTTTAAAAGATTTTATTGACAAACAAAGTGACCCTTTAGTAACAAAAGAGTGATATACAGTGACACGGATGCGCTCCATAAAGGCAACGTCAACAACAGGCACGTGTTTCGGTCCTCAAGACTTCCTCTTCTTCAGCATCTCCATGTACAACCCAAGAGATTTCTGGATGGAGTCTTTGGTGGTGAAACTGACAAAGTTTGTGGTGTCGGCTTCTCTGTTTGCAAGAAGTTTGTCTATCGTGGGTTTTCTCATCATGGACTTACTTATCTGACGGGCATGATCTGTAGGAAAAAAACACTGTACATGAACAAAATGTATTATAACAGGCAAAAATATCATATTTTGGAGCAAGCTAATAGCATTTACCTGGGATGGCCAACCATTTCGTCATGGTCTCAGTAGCTGTGCTGAGAACTTTATCTTCAGGAACAAGCTCATCCACCAAACCGACCTTTAGTGCTTCAGGAGCACTGTACAGTAAACCCAGCTGAAGACCCTTCTCGGTTTCTCTATGGCCCACAACGTTTGTCATGGTGTCCTTAAACCTGATTTACAAAAATCTCTATTTAATACCATCCTGTGTTCCAGTAGGTATGTTTACACGCACTAATTTTTGTCAATCTGAATAAATCCAATCCGATTTCTGAAAGCTGTGTTTACATGAATCCTAAACTTGACAATCCGATTCATTCCCATATTCATTTACAAAGGAGTATTATAAAATGAGTCTGGTAAAATGCGCACATCACGGCACTATGCATGTGCGCAAAGTACTTTTGAATCCAATTGAGAAGATAGTGTAGTTGTTGTTTTTTTCTCCTATTGACTGGATTATTTCAAGATTTAAAGAACACCAATAATACTCACCAAAAAGGTGCAACTATACCAAGTTGTGTTTCATTGAGACCGATGTTATAGCGAGGGTTATCGGCCATGATCCTGTAGTCACAACACAAAGCCAACAAACAACCACCTGCAGGACTGGAGCCCTAAAAACACAACAATTACATCAGTCATTCATTCATCTCACAATTTGACCTTAAAGGAATATTTTACACAAAAATCCAGTTATCATAAACCGGTAGAAAGAGTTTATAGTGGCACTCACATTGATAGCGGCGATTGTGACCTTGGTGGACCCGTAAAGCTTAAGCCATGCGTCCTGTACAGCCTTCCAGAATTCTGCGCAGTGCTCTGGGCTCTTTTTATACATTTCCAAGATATCTAGGCCTGCAGAAAACACCTTCGGCTGGGCCTTTAAACAAAAAAAGCACTGTCAATGAAATAGACTAAACTGGATCTCACTAAAGCAGACGTTTCTGATGACTTACGGATGTTATGATAACACCCCTGCAGCTTCTGTCCAGCTCAAGTTTTTCTAAATTAATAGCAAACTCAGTCAGAAAGTCAAGACTGAGACTGTTGACAGGAGGACTTTGGAACTGCATTATAGCAACACCTGTAAGAAAGTGGAAACAATTATTTTCTGGTAATGATTTTTTCGATAAATATGTATTCGCAGAGTGTTGCAAACCCATTATTTATGCACATTATTTATTAATATTCTTACCATTACTACTGTCCAGGTCCACTTTAATTTTTGAGGATGACAAATATCTGTTTTGAGATACAGTGCATGGCAGAGCACAGATTCTCCAATGACTGCTGTTTCCAGACAACAGTGATAAGAATCCTGCAAAAGAAATTGCTAATATTTTACAAATGTAAAACTAAAAGCCAGGATGTTAACCCAGTGCATTTATTAATTTGACTATTAATTACACTTCAGGAAATATGTACTGCAAGAGCACAGTGATGTGCTGTGCCTTTATTAAATGACATGGTGTTAACTTCTTACTTCTTACAACACCTAACAAAAAAAAAGGCATAATGTGTGTCATAATATGTTGATTTTCTGCTTTGAAAACTACAGGATGGCGTAAACAACTCTTTTGTACCCTACTGACCTTTGTCCTATTTCCTCAATGAATGCATTACTGCAAACTTCTTTCGGAAAAAAACATGGACACTGCAAAAAAGAAAAAACAACAAAAGTTGCAGATAAGGCAACATGACACACCTACCAGACGGGCTGAATTTGGTACAGAGCCTTAATACGGATGTCATCTCGCCAGCTGAAAGGTTAATGCTAAATCACTAAATGGAAACTCCACTGCTTAATACACTGGTTGCCAGATCTCGCTAGAAAAGCAGGCAAACTGTACTGGCAAAACATTCTCAAACATCACATTTTCTGCAAATAAGTTAGCTAAATGAATTTTTAATAGGTTTATTGTTTAAAAATATATATAAAACGCTTCACTGCGACTGTATACATATTTCATTAGAAGACAAATCTAAAGGCGCGTTAAAGACAGACATGGCAACACTGTGACTTGCAGACAGTAACATCCTGTGGCTGGTGCGTACGTCAATCATTCAGAGAGCCAATCATCAATGGTGTACGTAATATAGTTGGTTGTGATTTGGCAACTTACGTTCTGTGAAGGCGGTACATGTTGTGGCAGACTCGAGTGAAGCGATAGGCTACAACAAAACGCGTGTTACTCGAGTCTCTCCAGTGGTTTGTCTTGTCATCCTTGAAACTTTTTTAATTTATATTTTGGTTTTGTTTGCAGCAAACCAGAAATAACGTTTTTCATTGCCAGCCATTACTGCTACGTGGTGTATTTTGCATTTAATAAACAGCTACTAACGCTACTACATGAACTAAACAGCAACACTAGAAACAAGATATACAAATAAGGATAGGCCAAACTTTATTAAAAATACAAGATGGAAGGTTTAACAACTCGGAAGCAATAGAATTTTTTTTCTTCAGTCAGCTGAAAAATGCCCTGATTAAATCTGACTTTCCTGCTTACTGCTGCCCCATTACATCACAAAGAAACCCCTAATTAACATGTTTTAAAAAGCAGCATCATGCAATACAGACCACAAGCAGACTAATGATGACATCCAATTATGAAGAAAATTTCAGTCACAATATGAATTTGAGAAAATATACATCGTGTGATATATTTTGAAATATTGTAAGGATTTGATTGGATCAAATACATCTTGTATTTTGAAAATGGAATCGCAGAGTTATCAAAAATGACAATTCACAAAAAAAGCTTTCAGCTAATCTTTTGCGTGCTTTCTCATATTGGTGTCTTGCTGACTAGCTCACAGTTAATGATTCAGCATTTGTCTCTCATAAAAGGCATTACATGATGCGCATGCCAGTTAGACATTTCCCGTGGCATTTATTAACTTTTTTAAAGAAATGTTATTCTGTAGAAACAGTAAAACCCAATCATTTCCACAGAGTATTTTGAATATTCTGCAATATTTTCTAATATTTTTGAATATGATAGTGTAGTAGGGAATTATTCAAGAGAAATCGAGATATTCTTGTGTCAGATAATAAAATCAGCGGTGGAGATGGAAGTGTCAGGTAACAGTATCAGCAGGCATATAAACAATAAATGTATTTATTTTGGAATGTCAAAAAAACTAAAAACAGAGACAATCTAATATAAAAGCTAGATGGATGACAGTTACAGACACCTGGACAGAGATAAACAGATCTTAAACTGTTTCAGGGAATGAAGAGGGTGCTTGATTATGGGCTCCACTGATGGTTTCCAGCTGAAAAGACCAGCCATATCACCAGCAAATGTTGCATTTTAGAAGCTGATGTTCCAGTCAGGACTAACCAGCTAGAAAAGTGAACCAGAATTGTTTGCTGGTGAACAGCCGGACAACTTCATACTGGCTTAAGTTGATCTTTTCTACAGGGGTTTAATGCTCAGAAATACCTTTTTTTGACAAGCAACACTTAGTGCAAACCACGTCCTACACATGTATTTATCAGGTAACAGCAGGCTGATTACATCATCAATAATACAAGAAATTAGCCATTGCAGACACGATGGCTTCACATTCAAGCATGCACTGATCTGGTCATGGGCTCTGTAAAGAACTCTAAATGCAATGCAAGAATACAGACATTGCAATATTTACATTTACAGTATACACTAAAACCTGAGTGTACAGGCATGAGGGATTTCATTTGTTGGTTACACCGTTGTTATATCTATTAGAAAGTACTAAGTCGCCTCTAATACCCTGCCAGTCACTGTATGTCCTCAACCGTTGATTACACCTAATATGTAGGAACATCTTCATAGTTTTTTTATACGACTAATTGTTATTTAATCACTTGCAAAGCCAGCTCCAGCTGCATATCTACCTAGCCTATGTCTCTGTTTTAAACATCTGTGATAAATTGGGTATGTTGCTATGCATCTGGGAGAGAGAGACAGAGGAAGAACCTCTTTACTCTGCACTGTCCCAGTCTTTTTTGATTTGCAGGTTCCACTCCCACGACAGATGGTCTGTCTTGTCATCGTCTGTGAAGTAGGATTTGATGTGGTAGGTTCCCCGAACGATCATGCCCTTCGGAGCCTCCTCCACCGGGGTGATAAACTCATGCTCCTCGGCTCTCGGACCGTAGCTTCCTACCATGTACACTGCCTTGTCCACTACAGGTAAAGAAAAATCAATGAGTCAAATACTTAAAAAAGAAATCAAAAGCTGATTGGTGGTTGCACCCAACAATAACCTGTCCAATGGCATTTAAGTTGATTGTTAAAAGGATCAAGTAAAGCGTTTGACAGAATGACAAAGAAAAAGTAATTGGCAAATGGACAAAGAAATGTAACTAGCAATTTTTTTGAATGTTCAAAATTAAAGTCATTTGTATTTTTTTTTATTAAAATTTTATTGTTTTATTTAACTACATTTACAACAAACATTTGAAATGTCTCTTATTTTTCATTAAAAAAAATGGATCAATAAAAATGATTCACTCATTTATCATTTTATTATTTTAACTACATTTTAAAACATGATTAAACTATTTTAAATAAGTCCGTTTATTTTTCCATTTAAAGGATTAGTTCACTTCCAGAATAGAAATGTCTTGATAATTTAAATTACATGAATTTGCAGACGTGCATCGTGGAGCTAGTGCAAGACGAGCATTTGTGGTTAAATGTATATACATTTGAATTTTTTTAGAAAATGACTGATCGTTTTGCTAGCTAAGACCCTTATTCCTCGGCTGGGATCGTGCAGAGCACTTTGAAGCTGCACTGAAACTGCGATTTGGACCTTCAACCCGTTGGTCACCATTGAAGTCCATTATATGGAGAAAAATCCTAGAACGTTTTCCTCAAAAACCTTAATTTTTTTGCGACTGAAAAAAGAAAGATGTGAACATCTTGGATGACATGGGGGTGAGTAAATTATCATTACATTTTTATTCTGGAAGTGAACTAATCCTTTAAATAATGATTTATTAATTTTTGTATTTTTTATTTTAACTGCATTTTAAACATGATTTAAACAAACCATTTAAAATATGCCTATTAATTAATAAAAAAATAGATTCATTTATTAACATTTTTTTGTTTGAATAAATAAATTGATGTGTTGCTCCTAGTCCTCTCCATACAGCTCAAGCGGGGCTTAGTCATTGAGATTATTGACTATGACTGATATTTTTCTATTCTATTCTATTATTAGACTAAATGATCTGAGGATTTGGCCAAAAACATGGCAAATAAATACAAGTGAAACATGTTTCTCAGATAGTACTTTAAAATGGCATTGCAAGATGCTGATTTAGATCATGCACATTAAAACAGTACATGTGTGTATAAAGATTTCAAATACACCCTTGACTCAAGCACTTGTAAGCGCCAATTGCCAACATTTAAATTCATGACTACAGATGCTCTTACCTCTGAGTCCTTTCCTGTAGGTCAGATGCACATATTTCAGTCCAGACACGATGTCCCTGTTGACCTAATGGGAACAGATGGGATGAATTCGAATAAATATTATTAATTTAACATGTCATTTTCATTCTCAGGACATTCAACCTGTTGTAGCACAGAGTCACCAGCAGAGGTCCTGTTAGATCCTTTAGGAATTCACTCCACATACCATTCCCTTTTAGGGAATGCCCATGCATTGAAATAAAGATGTTGTCTAGTTTAGTATATTTGAGCATGAACTATAAAGCTCTTTTATCTTCTGTATGAAGCTGTATCAGGCCCATTTTTCCTGATGAATCATGGGATAGAAAGATATTGTTGGAGTTGCTGGATCCAAAAGGGATTTTGTGAATAATTGTATTTTGCAGGAATATGATCTGGCATGACTCACAGTAAAGTAAAGTGACTCTAGATGCTATTTTAATTAAATGTTCTTGAGAAAACTGTTACAAAACACAAAAAACATTTCAACACCCATATTTTGAAGCCAAAAGAAAAAGAAAAAAACCCCCACACAAACCCATTTGGTGCTTACATTGTACCTCGATCTGTTTCCAAAAAGTGTATTATTTTTAGGAAATTGTAGCCTGGGAAAGAGTGTCAGTGTATTTCTGTATGCTCTTCATAGTGCCGGATTGGTCAAAACAGGAAATAAACAATCTATCCACTTCTAGCCATGGATTTCATATCTTACAACACAAGCGCTCTAAGCATGCAGAAGCTTGGGATCAGTCTTTCAAGGGCATTGAAACAATAATGTTGAAACTTGCCTTTTTTAACAATATCTCATATTGACATAGATTTGAAGATAAAAATACACAACAGTATTTTTAGGCCACAGTATAAAGGAATAACCTGCAGACTGTTTGTGTTCAAAAATCAAATTTTTCACCTTGAAGTGGATTTTCACCCTGTAGTCCACTCCCTCCTTCATGGTGAAATTCTTCTTCTTCAAAGCATCGAGGTCACCTATGCAAACAAAAATAAACAAATATTTTTTTTACATCTTTACATCAGCCAGAGTGAAATTAATTGCAATTTAACATGGTTATAATCACATTTTTATAGAAATGCAGCATAAATCAATGTCAGAATTGTAAATGTGAGCTTCTTATGTTGCAGGTCGCATCCTTCTGCTTGTAGTTCAACTGAGTTCAATGCAAAGAGCTTCCTTACAAAAGTGCAACTGCTGCGTTATCAATTTACCCCTTGAATCTGCCCTAAGTGTTTTGTAATGGATACTGAAAGAGACGGGGAGGAAGGAGAAATCGGAGATTGATACAATGAACAACATCAACGATGATTTGTGGGCTATTCACATGATGCCAAATGCC